AAAATAAAGAAGCTTCCTTCCTTCAATAAAAATATAAAAATACTTTGCTCGGAAGAAATTGTAACATTTTCTTTTCTTTTCTCTTCATTTCTTTTCTTTTCTTAATATTATTCATTCGCTTTCTTTTTTCTTTCCTTCTCTTGTTTTCTTTTCTTTTCTTATGTTTTGTTTTTTTAAAATTACAAAAAAAAAAAAATTCGTTTCGTTATCTCTATCTTTCTTCCATCAAAACAGTGTCTTACCTTTTTCCTGCACTTTTTACTAGGACGAAAGGAGTTGGTGCTGTAATGCAACAAATTGAAAAATATTATCCTCTAGCCTATAGTATATATATATATATATATACACACATGTATATATCGAGAAAACAACAATTTTGATCTATTAATTTCTTTAATCGTTAAGAATTATAGTCAACCACAATGCACTGCGCGCCGGAAACAATGCAATGTTATGCATAGCCCATTTTATCTGTCAGACAAAATGGTGTTTTTTTTATAGGTGAATTTTGGTAATCCAATTTCAACATATTTTCTATGGAGTGAAGTGAAGAAAATCTTGACAATTTGAGGAATTCCAATTATCAAATTTCAAAAACTTTTTGCTACACCAGAGATTGGAAGAGCTTCAAAAACTAGGCGAACGATATAAACAATAATGTAGACGCGCCTTGCATTTGGTTTGGCATGTTTGGCGAATATGCTTTTACCTAAATAAAAGCCAGAAGAAGAAGAAGAAAAAAGTAAGTAAGAAATAGAGCTGAGAGAAAACATATATGACTGACACTTACTTTGGGTGGCGACAATAGTGGTTGTAACCGCGATGGGAGTTGTCACCGTCAATTCAACTGTCGATGTTTCTGTCAGTAGAACTTCAGTCTTCGCAGTCGTCACTACGTTCGTCGTCTCCTTTAAAAATGTAGTTGTCTGTGTACTCAACACTGAAGTCGTAGTTTCTGTATCAGTAGGAGTAACCTTTATAGTGGTAGCCGTTTCAAGAGCTATAGTTTGAATTGTCGTAGTTTCTGTTACTGTTGATGCTTCAGAAAACGTCGTCAAATATTGCGTGTGAACTTGCGTAGTCGTAAGGTTGCATTTGGAAGCAGGAGGTACCGTAATAGTAACATACTGGGTCTCGGTTACAGTCACAGTTACTTCGGGGTCTTCGAAGGCTGGTAGGATTTCTTTCTTTCCTGCATTCCTTTGCACGGGATGGTCTTTGTGCTCGTGCGCAATGCCTGTGAATCAATAATATCAATTGTTAATTGGAAGCATAACTCATGTGATTTCAGTCCACATTTTCAATCATTTTATAATAGTATTATGTATGTTCACTGTGACCAAAGTATAACATGACAAAAAATGACCATATATATTTTTAATTTGTTTAAGTTTTGGTATTTCAATGGGTTTGTTAATAAATATATTTAAAAGTGTTAAAAATAAGATTAGGTGTGTTTTAACACCATGCTAATGTTTGACAGGTACTTCCTGATTGCAGAATGAAGGCTTGTTTATCTAACATATTGTAGAGTAAACAAAAAGCAAATCAATTTTTATTTGTCACATTTTGGGCAAAAATGAGCCAATTACATTGGAGATAAGTCTGCCATTTAACGTACCACGTCTTGCTTTCAAGGAACAAATCAAGCCTTTTTCATGGATTTAGATATTCTGGTTCTCACTAAAAGCTTAAATCCCGTGGTACTTGTTTCACTTTATTTGTGTTTGTTGTTGATTAAACATATGTCACCTCTCCTCAAAAGCGCCTAAGCTTTGACCCTTTTTATGAATACGAATTTGTCCAAATTATATTTAGGGTTTTGTCGCATTTTCTTTCTCGATAATATTCAACGCTAACAAAAATTCCAGATAATTATTTCCATCAAACATACCTTCCTTTGCTCTTGTTTCCAGAAACAAGAAAGAAGATGTTGCTATTAACAGAATCCAGAAAGAGCAAATGCTTAACTTGACCATCACAAAAAATATTTTAAACCCGGAACTTATTTCAAACAGGGTAAAATGTTCTTCAAAGTGTTTTAATGTCAGATTGGGTGGATATCACTCATAACGTAAGATTTAAAAGTAAGGTAAACTTACTGAACTTTCACGTGGATTGATTTGACTGATTGTTGGTATTGCCACGCCCACGTCGATAGGTCATTCGTTTGAATGAATACTGGGCAGGTATTTGATGGCTATGATGTAAGAATATAGGTTTGGTCGCCAACTTTAGATTGGCTTTTTTCTTAAATCTCATTCATTAAATTTTTTTTTTTTTTTTTGTTATTCAAAAATATCATCAACAAATTGAAAGAATATAAACGAGGAAGAAAGAAAAAATGTATACTAAAGTACCTATACTAAGGTATATGATAATTGAGTGTATCACTTATGTAATGTTTATAAAGAGGTGCAGGTCTTCTCGTGAGGAAAAGCACTGACATTGAAACGAAAGTGTCAGTTTACACTTTCAACTTGGATCATCTTCCAAAGAATTAATATTCAAATGGTTTATACGTTCACTTTTTTGCGTTCAGATTTTCTTTCTTTCTTTCTTTATTCCTTAATTCTTCTTATTTCTTTCATTTTCCGTTTCCTCAAGCCTTAGATATTTAGCAATATTTATTTATATATTATTTTTTATAAATGACTTTTATTAAATCGAGAAAATTAGGATTCTCATTATTTTTATTAGAAAGGATCTGTGGTTATCTTTCGTTTTTTGAGTAAAATTAATCATCAATTAAAAGCGTGCACAATTATCTTCAATGAAAAACTTTTTTATTCAATTATTCAATTTTTCATTTTATTATTATCATTTATTATCGAGGTTTCAATGACCAATGCGTGGCGTATTTATATTTATAGCATAATTCGTAACTCACAAAGAGACAAGCGGTTTGTCAAAACATTTTGAGGGGCGTCCAATTAAAAGTCTTGAAATTAAATTTGGATGCCAATTTTCTTTTGAGACTTTTACAGAAAAGCTTCTTGCTATAAGTCATTGTCATCAGATACAGCAATTTGGTTTTCATTCTCGAGCACTGAATCACTGTTCTCATCAGGACAAAGCTGCTACCAAGAAATGGTTACGTTTTGCTGCATGCCGACGGAACCAAAGTGAAAAAAATAGGTTGCCCAGACACCTTTCTTCAACCTCTTTAGATATTACTAATATCAGGTTTAAAGTTTAGAGCCTCTATTAAACTGACATCGTCGGAAATTATCAAATGGTCGTTGTATAGAGGTTATAGAGTACTCAACAACAACCCTTTTTTGCTCTTTGGCAACTGGCCAGTAAATTATTCATAATGGTGTTAATTAGGCTAAAAACAGGAACCATGGAAACGATGATTAGAGTTTTTTTTTTTTTACATAGGGACTATCCTGGCGGTTTCTTTTAAACCAATCCCCGAGGTAACAAAGACCACTAAATATGAGCAACCAGCGGATACAAGATTTTATCATTTAGATCCAAGATACGCCGGAAAAAAAATGATCCAGCTGGCCTTGTTATAGAGAAGTAGCTTGGAAGGAGGACGGCAAAGTAACGAAGAAGTACCTGTCTTACTAGAGTACAAACAATAAAAGCGTGCATCCTAAATAGTACTAAATAGTGCTAAAATATGCTAATTCTGTCATTTTCTATTGTTTAATTAGTTATATTTATTGTTATAGTGCAGCGTTTTGATTACTTTTCAGTTTTGGTACTTCACTTATAACGACAATCCGATATTTAATTCCAATGGGCACTTGGTTTGAAATACTGTTATGACTGATTTTTTTTTGTTTCGTCTTGTTTGTTTGTTTGTTTATTTGTTTTTTCAAATATTATAAGGAATCAATCATATTTAAGATTAAGGCAGCTATTCCTTGATCGCCATCCATCGGTGGACGAATTTAGGGAGGTAGTCTTCATACCATCGCTTGGCGCGAGGAATCTTTTTTTTTTTCTTCCTAATAAAATATAAAGAAAAATATTACTAGAAGATATAGATACAATTGGTTACGACATTCTTATAGTGTTTATGTTTGCCAGAAAGCGAAGGTGTAGCTGGAAGCACATTTCACTATGTTGGATGCATATGAGCCATAAAACCTAAGGTTTCCCAGTTAAAGGCAAGAACAGCTAATAAACATTCATCACATGGACAGAGAGATAATTTTACTTATTCTTATGCTCGTATGCAGCATGAGTAATATGTGGAGGTTTGATTTTTCAATGAAAAAGGCTGTAGCTTTAGTCTCCATTGCATCCTTTTTAGTCTTGTTCCATTCCCCTACGGTCCACCTCTCTTTCCAAAACGTTCGTGGGGAGAGAAGTGGACCGTAGGGTAATTAATGGTACGAGACTAAAACGACTGCGATGATGCAGCATGCATCATTGGTCGGGGCATGTTTTATTTCATCCTTTTCGCTACTTACCTTTCAACTGATCCCACAAGTGTAATTGGAATGGGCGCTGAAACAAATAATATAATAATTTAAAGTTATATCTATATCCATATTTTTTTAAGATGACGCCTATTTTGTCCTTTATGACTGTTCCACAATGCAACCCAATGCCAACCCGACCCAGTTTATTTATCTACCTCTGAATGGCTAATATAATATCTAAGGATATACCAGATGCTGGTAGCAATGCGTTTGTACTTACTTGCTACTGCTTTAGCATAGGTAGTAGAAGTTACTTCAACCATTGTTGTCAAGGTGACCATCTTAGTAGCTGTCGCAGTAGCCGCTACAGTAGACGTAGCGGTAATCTTGGCTGTTGAAGTAAGCGGCTCCGTAGTAGTTGCAGTGACGGTCTCGGTTACTGTATCTGTTTGTGTAGCTGTTTCGACAACGGTCGAAGCAGTCTCTGTGGCCGTTAACAAAGTCGTTTGGGTTTCTGTCGTTATTACGGTTGTAACTGGTGTGGATGCAACTAATGTCGTCAGGGTTAAAGTTTCAATAGCAGTACAAGTCTCTTGTGTTGTCAATGTAATTATATTCGATAATATTGTTGTTTCTGCTGCTTGTGGTGATGGTGTTGGTAAAGGTGTCGTTGTTGGTGTTGGTGGTGTCGTTGCTGATGTCGTTGGAGCAGCAGCAGCAGCAGGAGGAAGAGGAGGAAGAGGAGGAGTAATCTGTAAGCTTTCAGCTTTAATAGCGGCCACCAGGTTATCAACACTATCTATGTCAAAGACGCGTGCAGAACTACCAGTAATAGCTTCTAATGCATCCTTATCTGGCACACCAGCAGCAACACTGAAGATATCCACATTTTTGTTTCTCAATGAATTCAGTGGTTCGACAAGTCTCTGTTGCCAGTCTATTTCTTCTTCAGGTGCAGTAGGACCTAAAGGATAATAGCACCAATTTAACAAATAGTTTTAGTAATACATGTTAAAAATTCTTGAACATGCTGTCTAGGGAATACTGATCTCTCTGATGAGTGCTTTTTCTTATTCTTCTTTTTCCAGTAGTCATGAAGTTGATAAAAAAGGCAGCGGCCGGCACTAAATACGTTTGGGAGAGTTAATGACTTACCATCGGATTTCCCATCCGAAAATATTACAACTGCTTTTGGGACTTTCCCAAGTCTGGCACCGCCAATAGGAACGAACACATGACGGTCAACTGACTGCATCGCTATGTCCAGCCTAGACCATTCACCGTCAAACTGTAGATTATCTAGCAATTGCTTCAGTTTATCCTTGCTTGCTTTTGGGTCAAACATGTAATAAGTTTCAACATCAGTGCTGTATTTCATGATAGCCACATGGGTTCCCTGTGGCGAGATGTTTAAACTGTCTATGAGCTTTTTGGCTGCGTTTTTTATCTTCATCCAACCAAATAATGTTATGGAGTAAGATGAATCGAGCACCAGGACGAGGTCCATGACGTATTGATTGTCTAGAATAAAACGGTTCATTTGTTTACAATATGACACAAAATGAGGTGACGGACGTAAGAAAAATGAAATGAAAAAAAGATCAGATGAAACGCAACAGGAACAACATAATCAAAAGCAAAGTTACCAAGAATTATAAAAAATCAGTAATAAAATTAATAAAAAAGAAATAAACACACTTAACCACCACAAAAAAAGGAAAAAAAGATAAAAGGATAAAAAGGAAGATAAAGCAAATTTATCTGATTAAACTATGTAAAAATAAAGCTTTTATAACCCATGAACACCAATAACCAGACAAAAACAATGAAAAAAACAACAACAACAACAAAGAATATATATATATACAAAAACACACAAACAAATCGAGAAATAAAAAGAAACTAAGAACAATTAACACACAAAATAAAAAATAAAAATAAAAACTACGTCAACTAAAACAAGCACTAAGTAAAGAACCGCAAATTAACAATAGGATTTTTAGTATTTTTGCTATTATTTTACCCGGGTTCTGTGAATGTACTGTGTTTAAACCAAGGCGCATTTCTGGTGTGCGTCCCTTATCAAGGGCTGGTTGATTTCCAGGATTTTGTGGCGTCTTTATCGCATCCAGGAAAGTATATCTACCGGTTGGAACTCCTTTGAATGGCTGCGCTGTATCTGGTGCTTCGTTAAGAGGTTGCACTTCAACTTCGTACCCATAGCCTTGATAATATGAATGAATTAGTAAATTTGAAGTGATTTGTGTTAGCGCTCAAATAATATCATTAGTTTCATACGTATGTTTAAAGAGCTGTTATTCTTCATACCGTGAGAATCAGAGGCAGTCTTAGTAATCATATAAGTGAGGAATACCTAATTGAACAACAAACATTGCAAAACCAGCAAATATATTCGATAAAACCAGCATAAAACTAACTTTTAAATAGAAACAATATAAAATGTTGCTTTTTGTTATGGTGTTCCTACAATTTTATTAGATATTTTTAATCTTAGGTTTTTAGCTTAAACTCATAATATCGCAAGAACAACCGACGCATTTGCTAAGCCCTATAATTCTAGTTTGAATGAATAATAAACAGGTTTGTCACCTACCATTTTCTGCGGTCACACAAAGGCAACTTGACAGTAATAGAATAAAAATCATTGCTTGTCTGGAAGCAAAGAAATAGATAATTTCGTTTACGATCATGGTTGCTTGCCCCGATTTTTCAATGCCTGTTGCAATTTTTTACCTATAAAATTCCAAAATATATAACGTAAGATTTAGATTTAGATTTTGATCTTGCCTTTCATTTGATCCATTGTTGGTAGTAGAACGCCCATCTTGGGTTTGAGACAAAGAAGCAATTGACCAATGATGTCATTGGACATCCCTGAAGTGCTCTCGAAATTGATGCCACGATTGAGTAATCCATGAAAAAAACAAATAAAGTGATAACATAGAAATAAAATGGATTCTGTTCTTCTCAAACTTATTGAAATCTCGAATATGCGAATATATCAAAGCGATGCATGTCACTGGAGGCGATTAACACTGTTCGTGAAAAACAAAAATTTTTTATCTACACATTGACTTCCGACAGCCAGAAAAATTCAAGTGTATCTAAACACATTTAATATTCCCTTTTCAGCGAGTTCTTCATCTTTGAAATATAATCTTGTGTACTAATAAATTTTGAAAAATTCCCTCTGTTTCCAATTATTCTGCTCAAGATGTAAACATCGAGGAAAGAAAACAGTAAGGAGCATATTAGCATTTACGTCTCATCTTCTCATTCAAACAAAACAAACCAAAGTCCAAATAAAAACCGTATTGACTTGCCAATGTCTAAACCTTGCTTTTTTGATCGTATCTATCAAAAATCTCTAAAGTTCTAGCTAAATATTTTGTTAAAACTCACCTAGCCGGGTCGAACTAAGGGTGTATAACGCTATTCAACAGATGAATATTATCTAGTCGGGATAATTATAATGGAAATAGCATCATCACATTATACTCTTGATAAGATTTATCCGTCAGTTAGGTCACTCGTCCCCTTTGTACACTCGGGCCCTGGGTGGCTTTAGGTGTTTTTATTGCCAAAATGCTTTTCTTTTTTTTTTTTTTTTTTTTTTTTTTTTTGTCCAAATCTCAATCCGATTCCCATATTTTTATTTTTATTTGTTTTTTGTTTTTGTTTGTTTGTAAATCCTACTCCCAATACATAAAACCCAATTTTCCCACCCAAAAAAAACGGCCAATCCCAGTTCCCATGTTACCCCTTCAGGACCCAGTCAATAACATGGCCTATATTAGCTCATCATAATAACTAGTACTAATAACTGCATTGCTAAGTAATAAAATTTATATAAGCTTTGATATTTTCAAATCATTTATTGGCGTTAAATGTCGTGTCACATAATCATGCTGTTGTTATTGCCAACAATACAAGGATAAGCAGTATAAGCTCTTTGTGCCCAATACTATCTTCGTCTGTTTTTTCATGCATTTTGTTACATACTTTTTATATATTTTATTCTTAAGTAAGCTACATTACATACGTACCAGGCAATAATTTGTGTTGCAAAATGTCTTACATATGTAATTAAATCATTGACTATCATATTTTAATATCTGACTAATATTGCACCCGATCCTGTACTGGCTTCCTGGTCGCAATTTAAAAGGTTAGCGAAAGGCCTTTTCTTTCAAGCGACTTTAATGTGGTTAGCCACGTTTCTTCAACCGCATTGCTGACAGTTTGGGTAATTGGCATTAGCTTGAGGATATACCGGGAGATTGCACCCTGTATTAGTAGGTTGTTGACATGGATAGGCGACAGGTTTTGGCGGTGGAGAAACAGGTTTTGGCGGTGGAGCAACAGGTTTTGGCGGTGGGGCAATTGTTTTCGGTGTTTCACATGGAGTTGGAGTTATGTAGGTGTTACACACGCGAACAAGGTATATTTTTAAACAGGGTGGAGAAGCAGAAGGAGAACAGGTAGGTTTTGGAACGCAGGTTGTTGCTGCTGTTGTACATATTGATGATGAAGCTGTTGTGGATACAGGCGGTGTTGGTGTTGCAGACAAAGAAGGAGTAGTCGTTGATGATGTTGGTGCTGCATTTTAAAATTGAAGAAAGATAATCAAACCTTTGATTCATAGTTTTTACACCGGTATAAAAGTAAGTTGGAAATAAGGAAGCAATACTCTAAGTTCGTATACTCTGTTGTACCGGGTTAGCCTCGATTTCGTAAGGGAATATTTTGAATATTCATGTCTTCAAGTATGTAAGTAAGTTGGAAATAAGGAAGCAATACTACAAGTTCGTATACTCTGTTGTTCCGGGTTAGCCTCGATTTCGTAAGGGAATATTTTGAATATCCATGTCTTCAAATAAAGGTCTGTGGAATTTTAAAGTGTTCCTATTTGTGAATATTTGGATAATGAAAAGAAGTTAACTCTGTATGAAAAATCTTCAAGGAACACAGCGGTATTTGACTTATTCGTAAACGGTCTATGAAGTTCATATTCAGAACAAGCGAGCACGCAAGGAAGGAAGGAAGGAAGGAAGAAAGGGTGAAATACTTATTACATCTCAAAAAAATAGTGATCTATCGTAAGAAAATATAAACACAAACAAGAAAAAAAAAATTGTTTTTTTTTAATGGATAAACCTTTACTGACCTGGGCAAACTTTTTTCGCCACACGTCCAAGGCTTTCACCTAAGGCCTTCATGTTATTAATCGTGAAAACTCGGGCGCGATCGCCCGCGACGAGTTCCAGTATTTCATAACCTGGTTTACTACCAGTGGCAACACTAAAGAGTAATACGTTCTTTGAACGTAACGCGTCAAGTTGAACTCCAATTACCTTCGGCCATTCTGTTGTACGGTCTGGTTTTCTTGGTCCTAAGAGAAAAATTGTTGTGCATATTAATTGATTCATGGATTACCACTAATAATAATACTAATGATTCATTTTCCAAATGCCAACTATTCCATTGCTTTGCGCCTACGATACAGAATACGATACGGAAGTCAAGACTTCTAGGCTGACAATAGTCGTCCTTCAATCATTATTATCAAACATGTCGATTGCGGCTTCTTTGAAGTCCAAAAGCCAAGCGAGAACCTCCCTCGAAACGCTAGGTTATAGCGCCGCGTAGTAAGAAAAGCAGTGGTAACTCTCTTCCGTAAGTTTTTATCGATACAACCTTTTAGGTCAACTGAAAATTACAGCAATTAATAGCTGTGTGAAGCCGTAAATCCAATGAGAAATGATCTGATCTTAAAGTGCTTTAATTTTTTTTTTTTTGGTCTCTGTTGCTTACGTCTCATGACATAATTTTGAATTTACCTGAAGGTGTTCCATCTGAGAAAACAACGACAACTTTGGGTACCTGTGGCCTTGCCCCAGCCGAATAAGCAAACACGTGGTCGTTTATTGACTTAAGTGCTAAATCGAGGCGTGCCCACTCGTCGTCAAAGTCCAATGATTGAATCTGTGCAATCGTTTTCTGTTTGGATGGATTTGAATCAAACATATAGAAGGCTGTGATTTTAGTGCTAAATTTTAGAATAGCCACGTGGGTTCCGTCTTTAGAGATGTCAAGAAGATTGACCAGATCCGATGCTACGTTTTTTGATACTGCCCAACCAACAGGAGAGTTGGAGTGCGAAGAGTCGAGAACGAGGACAAGATCCATTGCCAAATGGCATCCACTTTCTAAAACCAAGAAGCAGAATTGATACAATGTAAGTTTTAAACGACAAATTTCAATGACATAAAACTATTTCAGGAAAGTAGAAATTCGTTAAGCACACTGATATATTGCAAAAGTAATTGCTGTATATGTATATGCATATATGTTATATAAATATATATGTGCATATACGTTATATATATATTCACAAAGATRTTAAGATAAAAATTAATAAAAACAATAAATCCATCAATCAATGCTGTTGAACCAAATTACCTTTGACATTGCTGGCAGATGTTCCTTCAGCAGGGGCTCCTTTGGCAGGGGCTGGTGCAGTAGGGGCTCCTTCGGCAGGGGCAGGGGCTGGGGCAGCAGAGGGTTTTGCGGCAGGGGCTGGGGCAGCAGATGGTTCAGCTGCAGGGGCAGGGTCAGCAGGGGGTTCTGCAGCAGGGGAGGGCGCAGCAGGTGGTTCTGCGGCTGGAGAAGGCGCAGCAGGGGGTTCTGCGGCAGGGGCTGGGGCAGCAGGGGGTTCTGCGGCTGGGGAAGGCACAGCAGGGGGTCCTGCGGCTGGGGCTGGGGCAGTAGGGGGTTCTGCGGCTGGGGCTGGGGTAGCAGGGGGTCCTGCGGCTGGGGCTAGGGTAGCAGGGGGTCCGGCGTCTGGGGCTGGGGTAGCAGGGGGTCCTGCGGCTGGGGCTGGGGCAGCAGGGGGTCCTGCGGCTGGGGCTGGGGCAGCTGGGGGTTCTGCTGCAGGGGCTTGTGCATCAGATACATGTTTAGTGATAGTTAGAGGATTAGTTTGCCTGTCGTGGTTTCCATGATAACTTTGCATCGTGTTTGGGCTAGCATTGGTTACTATTCCGCCACCGGTATAAGGGAAAACTACCTGCTTGTCTGTTGAAGCATGGCTAACTGGTATCCATTCTTTTTTGTGCCCTTGATAGAAAATTAGTGAAAGTTTTTGTAATTATGAATGAATTTAAAACATGGTATATTATTGAATATAGTGAAAGGGATGATCATTCAAAGATTGTATGAAAAATGTTTATGGAATAAAATCCGGAATATCATATCGAAAAGGCATTGATAACGATTTTCTAACGCAATGAAAAAAACATCGGCATAAATTTATTTTTCATTATTGTTTTTTTTTTCATTATTTTTAATTTTTGTTTTAAAAAAATATTTTGTCGTATTATTAACTTTATTACGGTTACTAAAAAATATAAATGTTCAACCAAATGATTGTCAAGTGAAAAGTTGCATACAAATTATATATCATCAATGCGTTAAATTAAAGTGCCTTCTTATATATATGCCAATGTAAACAAAACAAAAAGCTTACCTTTCAAAGATGGCGCTGATATAGAATGACTCACAAAACTAAGCTGCAAAACCAGCAAGACAACCCAAAAATGGCCAAACATATAAATAGTCGAAGACATCTTTATAATATATGATAAAGGGCCTCGTTACTTCAATGGCCTCGACCTGTCGCGAGTATTATTTTCATTGCCAAAGATCACGTAATACGTACGTAGTCAATCGTTTTTGCTGGTATTTGTTATGACTTGGTGATTCTCGGCCCTCCTCCAAGACTAAGGAAAAAAAACACATATGAAGTCATTTATTTCGTTACTAAATCTTTATCTCTTTCTTTCTCTAAACCGACGAATGTCGCGTTCTTTGCAGTTTTGCTGTGACTTATGAATATCAGTGGCTAGTTAATTATCATTCATTCATTTATTCACTTTTATTATTGTATTTTTCTTGCTCCATCTAGAAAATCAAACTTTCCATTAACTGCATTAATAAAGACGTTTATTTGGTTTTGGAAACGAAACGAAAATGAGCGGTATAATGAAGAAAATAGATGTTTACTTTAAACCAATTGATCAAACATTTCTTTTCTAATTAATATTAGACATCAAGAACGCTTACAAGTTATGTGGTCTATATATATTTGAACTAAATAACTGCATACATTTAGCCTTAGAGTGTTAAGCAATCTCATTGCCATAAAAACTGTCTTCATAAATACTTTTCAAAGTACGTACACATAGACGATTTCCGAGAGGCGCAAACAATTTTCTCTAAAAAATCTTACGTTAAACCTAAGATTTTGCCTGAAATATATTCGTCTGTTTTTAATCCTGCAATCGAACTAAAAGAACTTCAAAGTATATTTATTTTATTAACATAGGCTGCGTTAACACTGTCACGGATTGGATCTACGGTTAGGAATTCTATTCACACAGGAATGATCTATCTGAACAAAAATCCGTAAAAGTAGCTGTGCAAATTTGGATCCGGTTTCGTGTAAACTGAACGTATTTATTAGCCATACAATTAAAGAGATGGTTTGGCGTAAATGGTATGCGGTACAGGTCAAATTTTTGACCAGTTTAAGATTTGCACGGTACCGTGTAGACGCAGCCACATTTTCAAAGTTTTGTATGAGTTTTTCATAACCCACTTAAAATCTTCCCAAATTATCTCCTTTTTTTCGAATCTGAGCACGCAATACGTTTGACAGCGTTTGCGACTCTCGGAAAAGAAGTATTTCAACCTTTCCTGAATTCACTTCAGTGACCAATGAAATAACGGCGCCATATCAAGGTAGGCCTCGATAAAATAAGATATATGAAGATATCAAGTTCAACTAAGATTTAAAGCCATTGAGGTCATCAAAAGAATTCGGGAAATGTCTTATGAAATATTATTAGTCAAATCCACTGACTGACAGACTAGGGAAATTCGCGTTGAATTTCACGAGAAATTTCGGATAAAATTCTGGAGTCAGACAACAGATTTTAAATGCATCCATTGCAATAATATTTTAAATAGACTTATTTTATTTAATTTTTATGATTCAGGAGGTCAAAAAAATAATAAAAATAAACAAAACGGGCTTCCTGTATTGTCTTGCAATTGAGCTTTTCAAATGTTCTCAACTTTCGTATAATTTTCGGAAACATATACTATTTTCTTCATCATTCATCATTATTTTTTTATAATCTGTATAATTTGTTTCGTTTAAAGTAATTTACACGATTATTCAATTGTTGTTTTGATGGGAAAGAATGACCAAAAACTAAGATCTAATGCAAAATTTAACGTGGGAATCCTAGTTTTTCATACGTCTGCGAAGAATGCCCGCTTGTATACGTCTTTTTAGCCAATCAGCACGCGCCAATAGCAATTACCCTCCAGCATTCATACATACGTCAATGCACACGGGTACAGCCTTAATTATAGTTATTTCTTCGGACAATATATAAAGCAATGTTTTGCGTACAGAACCGAAATTTTTCTCCAACTTACAGGTTTAGTCTAGTTTTTTTAAGGTATACGGGACAAATGAACAAATAAATGTTATTGTTATCAATACTGAGCTCAACAGCATTTCATTGCAATTAAACTATCATATTTATATATATATATATATCGTCTCAATTATACATCACAACAACATTCAACTCTTCAAGCAGGTCCTGCAAAAATTCCCATTTTAGTTTTTTGAATCTTGTAAACGAAGTTAGTGTTGCTTTGGCCAACACAGTTGTTTGGCGAGTCATTGACACATAATTTCATGTCTTTCGATACGCATTGATCTGACTGACCATCCGAGTCATATGTTTGGTCAGCAGCAGGGCCTGACCAGCATTCGCCTGGAAAAAGGTAAAGGTTTATAAATACATATCAATACTTTTCTCTTGTATTTTAAAGTTCTGACATTTTACAAAGGGTACTTTATAACATTGCGATGATTGTTATTGACTGTCTGTCTTTCTGCCTATCTGTCTGTCTGACGGTAAGTTTTTTTGTGCTTGTCTCTCCTTAGTGTACGTTCGTTAGTTTTTGTGTTGTTGTGTCTGTCTGTGTGTGTGTGTCTGTCTTTTTTTATGTCAATATGTACGTTTGTCGGTTTTCTGGGAAGTATAAATGTATTGATCAACTTATCTCACATGTATACATGGATGATTGTGTTTATACTTTCATCCCTTACCATATTTTAGCCATTTTTATTTCTTAATAAAGATATTATTCAATTCTTACCAAGATTTTGTATCCCAAAATATTCGTTCTCATATTCCTGTGTATTCTGTGCACAGCGACAAATCACGTCTGCAAGGTAGGCGTTCCAGTCTCCCATGTTCACCGGTGAACCGCTGTACACTGGTGACTTTGGATCCAAGTCAGTTGTCACGAGATCTGAGAAGGGTCTGGGACTAATGTGGTTGTCTCTGAAGCAGCCAACCTTCTCGTACGTAACGGAGCATGCCTCCGCTGTAATCAAAGCACCACAGAATAGGTACATATGAATATCGAGTAGTTTTTCATCTCATGTAGCACAAACAACTGGTCCTTATCCTCTTGTACATATTTATACTTATTGGGGTGATTTACTTGCTATGGCATCATTGCCATTATGGAYCGCAAATATATCCTTTACAATCAAGTTATTTTTAATTTGTTTTATCCATCCATTTATAATTATTCATCCATCCATCAATCCATCCACCCGTCTTTTTATGTTAGGTCCCCATGCTCTCTAATTTCTCCCACAAGCTGACAGTTTTAGTTTACGACACGCTCTGAGAAGCATGGTATATTATAATGTTTGGTGCGTAAGCTTTTAAATATTACCTTGTTTGCCATTACCAAAGTCAATCTCATAAACATAATTTGATGTTTTGTTTCCTACACATGGCAATTGATTTTCTGCGTCACATGTTTCCATCTTGTTGGAGATGCAAGACTCTGATTCTCCATTTCTGTTGTATGTCTTTTCAGCATCAATACCTGACCAACACTCTCCTGGACGGGAACATAAGCAAATGCGTTTTTTTTTTTTTTTTTTTTTTTTTTTTTTTCAACACAGATATTTTTATCATTTGTGAAATCTCGTGCACAAGTTCTTGCTAAATAACTTACCTTTTTTTAAGTCACTCTCTAAAAAAGAAGATTATTTACTCAATTTTCGTGTCYTTTCGTGCACAAAGTTAATTAACAAAGAAATGTGGTTCTCCAGGGAATCTAAAAGTGGTTTGAAATGGTGCTATAGTGATTCATTGTATAGTTCAGTAAACGGATAAATAGACAAAATTATGAATTGTAAAAATAATGTGAGCATTTTTCCTTTGAATTATTTTTATACTTTTTACGAAAAGAAAAATAATGCAGGGAGAAAAGCAAAAACCGTTTCAGAAGTAAAGTACAAAAGCGTCACAAAAGCGTCACAAAAGCGTTACAAAAGCGTCGCAAAAGCGTCCTGATTCTTATTCTATCACATACCAAAGTTTTGAATACTGAAGAGTTTAAAATCCCGACTCTCTGCATTCTTAGCACATCTACAGACAACGTCTGACATATATTCATCCCACTTTCCCAAGTTCATCGTTATTCCACTAAAGAGATCCGAGTCTGGATTTCTGTCTGTGAAGAGTTGCGTGGGAAGAGGTCTTGGGTCGTTGTGGTCATCCACATAGCAGCCTAGTTTGTTATAGCGAACGCTACAGTAACCTGAAGATTAAAAACCATATATAAAATGAATTCCCTAAAATATAACTCTTGAAATGTGACGGTGTTATGCGTGAGTAAAGATTTCTTTTTGGCTTTCTCCTGTGCTTCGAGGGTTTTACTCTGCGCTTCTTTGATTCTTCTTCCACCAAAAATGAACTTCTTCATTCCAATTCGATCGTTTATGAAAAGAGAGCCACAGGTTTATTTATCCGCTGGCCACAAATAAAATAATGACTGTTTTATTCATATTGTACCGTAGCTATAGCTGTACGACGAAGATCCGCCAACTGACATCTGCCAATTGGAAGAACTGGATGAAGCGCTGTTATCTGCAATTAGGAAAAACCAGCAAATTGAAGACTACTGATGTTATGCCCCATCATTATATGTTGTTGGTTATGTAAAACATTTTCTTCTATATGCGATCTCAGCAGCTTATCACAATTGCGGATCATCCTAAAATGCGGTGTGTAACACAATAGTAATATATGAGGTTAAAAGTGAGAGACTTTAAACAAATAAAAAAAAAGCTTTCCCTATTTTTCGCCCGGCTGTTTTATAAAGTGGGCTTTGGGTATCGTTTGGGTTTCCTTGAAGTGAGTGTTGCATGCACACCATTAAAACTAAACCAACCGGCTAGCTCAGCTGGTAAGGTTGTGCGGGGTGTCGCCGTTCAAGCCTCAGCCGGACCAACACTCAGCTGGCTATCAAAATAATGAAGATGCTTTCTTTGTAATTAAGAAGGTGCTTTCTTTGTAATTGGTTAGGCCTTCACCATGGTCGGATGACCACGTTAATGGGGGTTAATGGCGTAGAAACGTTAAAAGAGGACCACGGGTTTTATCAGTTCAATGGAATTACTGTAAAGTGTATATTTTAAACTCAAATACCTGGGCATGCCTTTTGTTCAATCAAGCCAACCACGCTTCTCAGCTCGTTAAACCCAGACGTAAACACGTGGTCACTATCAGGATCAGTTGCTATGATGTTCAGTTGCTGCTTATTAATTTTGTTTCCAATGCCCAAGCATAAGATGGTTATCCCTTGATCCCGAAGAGCTTTAGCTGGCTCGTCTACGGCATCTTCAGATGCCCCATCTGACATAACAATCAAGATCCGAGGAACACTGCCTCGTGACCCTTTGTCGAAAAGATCAGTTCTGATCGTCGCTAAAGCTTTTCCTAGGTTAGTCCCTCCATATAGAATCGGGATATCATCTATTGCTTTGTCGATACTTGCTTTATCGTAATATTCTGTAAAAGTAAAGTTCACAAAAACGCGGCTTGCGAACTGCGCGACCCCAACGTGGGTTCCACTCTGCGAGATATCAAAGTTTGAAATCATCTGTTTGACAAAGTCTTTACAGAGTTCAAAATTCCCAGCTCCAGCCGTTTCTATGGAGGTTGATCCATCAATCAAAAAACCTAGGTCCACCGTGGTCTTGCACTTTGTTTCAGGCTTTGCAGTTGCTGTAAAAAGGTTATTGACCCAATACTCAAATGTTAATGCCATAATTTGCTTAGAGAGATAATTTTGTAAAATAAGCTAGACCTTTGCTATTTTCAAGGAAGTGTATTATAAGTATGGCTTACCAGGCTGTTCAGTTACTGGTTTTACTGTTGGGGTCACCAAGCTTGCATCTAATACAAAAAAAAGATGTCAAGCGTGAACAAGAAAAATAAGTTAGAAAATCTGCCCTCCCATTATGAAATATATAGCAAAAAAATGCATTGAGTGACGACAACATTGTTTGTAATGGCATGCATTCACGAAGTCGCCTTTTTTAGTAAAGACAATGGTGGTTTATATCACAGAATAGAATAATTTTYGTTGTATCTTGTGAAATCTCAGATTGCAAGGTATGTGGCGTACTGCGATCTCGTGCTATATCTTCCATCTCAAGCCAACTTTCTGAATTATCTTTTCACGCCTTATACAACGATTCGAAATATAGCGACCAATTTGAATTACAGTAGTTCTGCACTGACTAGCGGCTGATGATTAGCTTCTGATACATGTAAAAACGCTTTTGTGTTTCCACGTGAAAACAAGGCTAGTCAGTCGCTAGTCAGTACAGAACAATAGTTATTCAAATTAGTGGCTATATTTCGATTCGGTGTATATTGTTTCCCAACAAAATATACATGGACTTTCCMTTTCCTTTCCATTTCTGCCTTTTCCCTAGAGATGTTTTTATACATTACCATAACAGGCTTTCTGTTTGATACTTTCAACAACAGTATCCAGTTGGTCAAAATCAGCAACAAACACGTGACTAGAAGACGGTGCTGACGCCATGGTATTCAACTGCTGCATGTTATACTCGGACCCTATTCCCAAGCAGTAGATCAAGGTGCCATCATTTTTTAAAGCTGTTGCAGGGGTCGTAATATCATCTATTGACTGGCCATCGGTCATTACGATGAGCGCATGCGGAACACTCGAACGTCCTGTTACGTCGAAGACGTTATTCTTCACAGCCTTCAACCCTTCGCCTGCAAATGTACCACCACCAGTATACTTGATAGAATCAATGGCGTCCTCAATATCAGCTATTTTCGAATACTTGGTTAATGTGAATTCTACTTTGGCTGTGTTTGTGAACATTACGACACCAACGTGGGTTCCATGACTAGACACCTCGAAGCTTCGAACCATGGTCTTGGCAAAATTCAGGCAACGCTTGAAATTTCCCATTCCAAATTGCTCGATTGAAGTGGATCCATCAATGAGGAACACCAGATCTACGACTGCCTTGCAAGGTGGAGTAACTAAAATACATAAAGATGTCAGCTTAAACCCGTATAAGTAACATCAATAAAAATAATAAATATGTGATGTATAAACGACTCTAACTGCATACCCACTGCTGGAGGCGGCTTACTGGGCCGATCTGAAGAGTTGAAATTGAAAAATAAATTAAATCATAATTAATCGAGATATTCAGTAAAAGAAAGCAGAATTTGAATAACAAGCAAACTGACAGGCAGGCAGGCAGGCAGATATAAGGACGGACAGACAGACAGACAGACAGAAAGGCAGATATACGAAGGACAGACAGACAGGGACACACACACAGAAAAAAAACAGGAAAAAAGTAAAAGAGCGTTTTCAATCACTTGAAAAGGCGGCCATATTGGTTCACCAAACAATAGAAACTTTTTGCAAAAACACAGAGTGAATTTCCCCGAGGAGAGAAAACGTACTCTTTTGGTACATCAACATGGCCGCTGTGACGTAACGTGAMAACGCTCTAACATACCGTACGTACGTTCACCCTACCTGTAACAATCACATCGACTTTGTCTACCAACGGATCCCCATAAGCCAGGTCCAGACTACACCCATAAGTACCACTATCAGCAAAGGATATTTTACTTATGATAAGATGTGCGCTTGATTCCTTCTTTAATCGGTCGTTAAGTGACGCAGGACAAGTCGAGGACACCATCCATTTCCAGTTATTGTACTTATCCTCAGCAGCGAGCTCTATAGCCTGTCCTTGTGAGTTATACATATTCCAGGTTGGGGAGAACCGCGCAAAACCTTGGTTCTTGTCCCCAGTTGTAGTGTATTCCCACTCAAGTTTGATATCGTCATCGGAATATACGTAAACCTTTCGAGGCGGAACTTTGGTAAATTCCACTTTAAACACAACTATGAGGAAAAATACATTATTATGTTGTATTATCAGCACGTGAGCAGTATAACGGCTAGCTCTGTTTATAGACTTCCTATACCAAAATTGACCATTCATAGGCTAAGGTCAACCGTCGAACTTCACATGAGCCAAACATAATTGAAATAATGGATAACAATGCGTCTTCTTTTTAGTCATTAGGTTCGTCTCGATTTAAGTTTTTCGTATAAATGGATCATTTTGCGTCTCAGTTAGGGGGCGTCTTAGGTAAGACATGCCTTATTTCTTCCTGTATAAATGGATCTATTGTATTACAATGTTCCTGCCATACAACATGACTACCGTTGGAACTATCACATTTGCATACCTGGTTTTGGTTTCTCTGTATCAATGATAGCATTTGAATGGTGATCATGAAAGAATATAAAAAATAAGTTTAATTGGTGGAAAAATATATCTTAGCATGGGAGAAAGGAGGAAGCTAGTCCCAAATAACTTCATCGATTTTTCCACGGGTTCCCTTTCCCTTTCCCTTTGCGTCTCATGTAAGCAAACTTTTAGATACACCAAGCATGGCGGAGCATATATAGAATAACTTACCTTTAACAATCAACTGTACTTTGTATTTTGTATATCATTATCATAACTAATCCTGTAACCCCTCCCCTCCTGGATGCGCCTCATGTAAGCAAACCTTTAGATACCTAGCACAATGAAGCATGTATAGAGTAGCCTACCTCTAACAATCAACTGTGCTTTGGATATTACAGGCTGGCCTGATATCATTACTAAACTACATCCATATGTACCACTGTCGGCAAGAGTAACCTCGGAGATAACGAGCGTTGCATCGGATTCTTTAGTCAGCCRTCCTCTCAACGAAGCAGGACAGCTTTCAGATATGCTCCATTTCCATCCACTGCTTTTATCTTCAAAAGCAAGCTGTGCATATTCGCCATTAGAATAGTAGAGATTCCAAGTAGGAGAATAGCTTCCGAAGGCGTTGTCTCGTCCACCATCGATTGAGTACAGCCACTCTAGACGTACAGTTTCTCCGACGTACGCATAAACCACTTGAGACGGTGTTCTCGTAAATCGCGCATCTATTGGGTGGTAAATGGAAATAATGATTGCATAAGACCAAAAGTAACCATTTGATATTTGGATATGCGTTGAATAGTTGGTCTAAAATCTTCTAAAATGTTCTGCTAATCCATGTATGCTTTATAGCTGAAAATAGCATGAACAATTTTTCTTTCTTACAATTAACGAACCATATACGAGTGCTTCTTACGCTTCTTAGGTTGTTTTAGGCGTTTCTTAAGTCTCTAGTTACTTTATAAAGCTCGGAAAGAACAATCAGTTTTAGATCGCTGATTTACGCTTATAAAAGCACAATTCTTGGCATGTCATAAAGTGCGTACTATATATAAGCTATATAATATTATTTGTTACATTTTTCCACTTACCTAACAAGACCAGCTGCACTTGAGACAGCACAGGTGTTCCAGACACCATCGCCAAGCTGCATCCATAATAACCACCATCAGATACCGTCACACTCCTTATAACCAGCGTTGCTTGTCCTTCTTTACTTATGCGATCTCTGTACGATGCTGGACAAGTAGATGACACGCTCCATTGCCAATCAGTATTCTTGTCTTCTGAAGCAAGCTCCACTGAGGCGCCGTTTGAATAGTAATAATACCAAATAGGAGAATATCTTGCAAAGACTGAGTTTCTATTGCTAACTTGATATTCCCATACAAATCGAACTGTCATTCCAATTCTAATGTAGACGATGGATGGGGGCGTTCGTGTGAATTTGGCTGGGAAGAAGAAAAAAATGTCCTTAATGGTGCTTAGGATTCACTCGTTTATTTTATCTCAAATATTTTTTATGTATTGTATATCCTATTTATAATATATGTGTTTTTCCATAACAAATTACAAGTAACATTTAATTGCGTACAAAGGCATGCAATTTTATAATGGGGACACTTGGTTTCTTTCTACTGATTCTAAACCCTTAATATGCAGAGCCATTAGGTACAAATACACTAAGTGATCAAAATTAATATTATTTTCAATCAATAGCCTATAGGAAGGATTTAATAATAGAAAATAAAAACAGTGACAAAAACGTAACCCCGAAGTTTTCACGATAGGAATGTTATCACCATATTATGAAGGCATGTAAAAATGTATAACTTAGCTTACATTTTTGCTTCTTTTTGTTTTTGTTTTTTTGTTTTTGTTTGTTTGTTTGTTTGTTTTTTGTTTGTTTTTTGTTTGTTTGTTTGTTATTGTTGTCGTTATTGTTGTTGTTTTGTTATTGTTGCTATAGTTTTTTTGTCTTGAAAGAGAGGACAAAACTTGCAAAAAGTTTATGAAACCGGATTTATGAGTCACACTATTTAAGATGAATTTGTCGTGATTTCTAAGATGACTATTACTCACCATCTGGTGTTATTACTTGTGGAGTGGGCAATGGTTTGGATGCCTCTGGAAAGTTATGAAAACCGTTAAATTTATTACAATTTGAGCTATAGGATTCAGAATTTTTTTTATATCTTGAAAACTATTGAAGAGCAATCCTATTACCTTTATAATGCACCGAACATTATTATACTAGGGAAGAATCAGTTTGCTGTTCAGTGCTGGAATTTGCTAATAATTCGCCCATGCTTTTTAGACCAAGAGTATTAGTTCTTTGTCTTATGGTTGTTTATAGATATGAATACTACACAGACAAATAATCTTATTCTTGAGGGAATGACAATGTTGAAATGAAAAAACTATATACCCCTTACATGTGACGTCAAAGCAACTCGATCTGAGGAACAAAACAAAACGATTCCAATCTCCTGAGAATTGGAGCCTATTGTTTTGTCTTCCTGACTGAGCTGCATTCCAAAGTGCTGCAAAGGGTCTATTAATTGAGGTATATTAAAGCCAAATGCGTTCCTGATTATTACTTAATACCCACCTGTACAAGCTTTCTCCTTGATAGACTTAACAGCCTTATCCAGCTCATCAAAACCACTTGTAAAAACATATTCCTGGTCAGGATCCGACGCTATCTTATTAAGCTCGATAATATCAAAACTACTGCCTATTCCCAGTACATACAAAGAATTGCCAGCACCCTTTAAGGCTTTGGAAGGACCTGTAACGTCATCGTTCGACTCTCCGTCAGTCATGACAATGACGATACGATGTACATTAGAACGTGCACTTACGTCGATGACTTCTTTTTTAGTCACATCTAATGCATTTCCAATATAAGTACCACGTTCAGGGTAAACTATACCATCTATTGCTTTCTCAATACTTGCAATGTCATAATATTTATCAAGCGCAAATATAACCGATGCTGAATTCGAGAACAGAACTAATCCAACATGCGTGCCGCTCTTAGAAACCTCAAAGTTATTGGCCATGTCCTTGGCAAACTTTTTGCATCGGTTAAAGTTACCAGCACCAAAGTGCTCGATTGAACCAGATCCATCCATGACGAAGACAAGATCAACAACAGCTTTGCAAGGCTCGGCTATAGGATTAAAATAAAACATTATTACTAGGACCACAATGACCACAGGGAGGAGATTGTGAGGCCAAGATGGCGGCCGTTAAAACCATCCGAAATAAATGGACGATATGCAAATGTACTTACGTTTGGGTGTTGGTGTTGTCGCTATGGGACCAAAGAAAATATGAAATAAAAAAATAACAATTGTCAAATTAGTTTAATAAAACCGTGCTGAAAATACCTGCGTTGGATTGGGGAATTTCATTATTGAACATTTACTATTGAAATGCTCCATGGCCCCTAAACTATTGAGATGCTTCTTGGCAACAACAGTACGGCAGGTCGTTGCCTATTGTAATGTTTTTCCACTATTTAATACATTTGTTGAAATTCTCAGCTAAACAGAAGAGGAGTCTTATTTGAGGACGCGGGGGGGGGCTTACGTAACTGTACTTGAGGGGTTCGATAAAATGTACAATTAACTAAGTTCATGTAACTTACGTGCTGGTGTTGGCTTGGCTTTAGTAGAAAAACAAATAGATAGAGTGAGTGTAGATTAGACTTAGCAAAAACAATCTAGTATTTAGAAGGATTTGTCCTACATCTTTTTATTATTACTATTATTATTATTATTATTATTATTATTATTATTTCATATTTGATTCTGGTGAATACTTCGAGAAATAACGTAACTTACAAATTTCTAATTTTACGCGACAAATCCGTTAGAAATATTAGCATAAAAATAATAAACGCGAGTATATGAGTAAAATAATATATAATTAGACGAACAACAACAAAAATACATTGTACAACAACGGCACATTACCATGCTTGCGCTTTACTTCTTTTTTTTTCTTTTTTTTTTTTTTCTTCTTCTTTTTTTTTTGTTTTTTGTTTTATAATTACTATAATTTTATGTCATCACTTACTTTCTATTATAACTCCATACACATGATTCGTGTTCTTTTCACCACAGCATTCGTTTTTGTTTTCATTTTTGCACTTTTCAAAATGTCCATCGACACAGTTTGCACTTTCTCCATATTCCATATATACATCCGCTGACTCTGACCCCGAGAAGCATTCGCCTGAAATAAAAAGGCATTAAATGTGTGTCTGAAAAATTTATAGGATATACAACAAACTAAAGCAAAACAAGGGCAGAGGAAAGCAAGTCAAGCAAAAGAATGATGACAATGATGACAATARTAATAATGATCATGAGAATTTCAATTAAAGAAATAAGTACATTTAAAAAAATTTCCGACGAAGGTTTAGCGTGCCATGTCTCCTTATTTACCACTATATGACTTCAACCGTTGCTTAAGTGTAAAGCACTCACGAGGCGTAGCCAAATTTGAAAGAAAAAAATGGTGGCTAGTGCATGCTGGCTTCGTGTGCGAGCGATTCCTAATATGTTGATGTAATTTGTTGGTAGGTCCTCTTATTTACCACGGCTCTCGACCAATCAGAAAGCAAGAAGAAAATTTACATGAGTAAATTTGCAGGCATTACATTACTGTTAAATCAAGGTAAAATACCATTACTAGAAACTAAGTAATTTAACATATTGAACTTTTACATCATTACTGATTCAACAATCGACCCTTCATTTCTCTTCCTCTTTGTCCGTCTGTCTGTCCGTCGGCGCCGTTTGTAATTATATTTACTTGTCTATCTCATTTATTCGTCTCCTTTATTCTGCTTGCTTCGATCGATTACGCATCATCTATATAAGCACTTATTCTTCGTTTGCACGTTACGTCATGCGGCTATGTTGGTACCATTTAACAAAAGATTTCTCATTAGCATCCATTGTTAACGGTACCACAATGGCCGCCATGTTTTTGTCTTTTAACTCTCTTGGGAATGCTTGCAATCCATCAATAATCTAACCTAAATATCAAGCGATTGAATGAAATCCAAAAATATTAACCTGTATCTCGTACACCAAACACTGAGTACTTCTTTTGCTTGGCTTTCTCGGCGCACTGGCAGACAAACTTCTGTAACCAGGATGCGAAATCTGACCAATCCGGGGTATTACTAAGTAATCGTTCTGGCATCATTGGATATGAAGAATGTTCGTTGTAGCAGCCAAGCTTCTTGTATTCGACGTCACAAACAACTGAAGCATTTCAGACATACAAATGATTAGTTATTAGTAGCACTAAGTTCCAAGCACTTTTTCTTAGGTATTTCGTTCCGGCTCACAAAATTGAAATATGATTTCAAAAATAATGCCGTGCATAAGTGCGCAGGATTAAAACATTGCAATTAAAACGCAAAAAGTAAACCTCGTGGGTCCTCCTTGGTAACGCGTTTCTTTCCACTCTTTAGAAACCAACCAACCCCTAGAGTGCACGCACTAAACCCGTGAATAATATTTAGTACTAATTAGTAGTAATTCATACAGAATCCTTTGTTTCCTTTTGCTTCATTATCACTATTTAGTACTAAAAATTAGTATTATTTGTTTCACGGGTTTAGGGCAAGGACCCTATTTTTAATGTTTGATGGAGGGTTTGAATTTCGATGGAAACCTGTCCCGGATTTTGAATTCAGCATTGACACTAACAGGGAAGACCGGCGCTGAATTCAAAGCCCGGGACAGGTTTTCCGTCAAAATTCAAACCCTCCATCAAACATTAAAAATAGGGCTTGGTTGTTGTTGTTGTTTTTTAACCAGTCAAAACACACGTGCTCGAGTTGTATAGGAATTCACAGAGTGCCTGCGGCCTTCGGTCTTGAATCTCAAAGCAAACCCTCGTCCTAGCGTTTGAACCTTTAATTAGAACTTGACAATAGTTCAAACAAGAAGAGATCAAGTTCTAAAGCAAGATTTATTACTTTTCTCATTCAGTTTCGCCATTTAAATCTTCATTAACTGCTTCTGTACTCGCATGCAGCTTACTTCATATATTATTGCAGCATATGCTTATTTTTTTTAGGAAAAAAATGCTTGCTTATTTTTTATATAATATCGTGCTATTTTATGCTTTGATGTAGTTTTTTTTTACAATTTTATATATGCTTTTTCTAAATTGACATTTATGCTTATAATGATAGGGATGGTGGTGATAATCATGATGAAGAAGAAAGGAAGAAAGAAAGAAGAAGAAAAAGGAATCGATGATGATGATGATGATGATCAGGATGATGAAGATGTTGATGATAATGATGATGATGATGTTGATGATGATGATGATGATGATGATGGTGATGATGATGATGATGATAATGATATGATGATGATGATGATAATGATGATGATGATGTTGATGATGATGATGATGATGACAATGATGATTATGATGATGATGGCGATAATATTGATGACAATGATGATGACGCTGATCTATCTATTTACTGTTAAAAGCTTTACTAACGGCTTTCAGGCGGTTTATTCGGCTCTGGGTCAGCTGAAAGGAAGCAAAATAATTTTTTAATTATTCAAATTATTTATATATATTTACATTGAATATTTACATTTAACGGGGTTTTTTCGCGCCCTCCTTTCCAGTACAGACACTCTACTAAATGAACCACTTTTCACAAATTCTAGTAATCACAAACCATACAGGAAAGAGAGGAATCAACATCACACTGACTTCAGCCAATCACAGTGTTCAGTAGTCCCTATAAGTTTTTAATATCATATAATAATAGAGGCATAACCTAGAGTTTCTTTCAAATCTCTGACGTGATTATTTAGACTTGTTCAAGTGATATAATGTAAGTMTATTCAAGGCTTACCTTAAACCATAACTTTAACCCTAATCAGGGAAAATCGACAACTTACATATATCACATGTCTTCTGTACTAGATCCTTCATAATGCTTGTCAATTCATCAAATCTGTGTACCATGAAGACATTGCGTTCGTCGCCGTTTGCGATTTCTTTAAGTTCGCTGCGACTCACTTTGTCAGTTATGCCAACAGCAATGATTTGTACTCCTTTGGCCTGTCAATCAGCAAAGGCAATTTATTGGTTATGAATTCAACGTCATCGAAGCAAAACTATCCTCCCTTAATCCAGCGTTTTCAGAAGCTTTCAAAAGTTTAATTTCCATCTTGAACTGTATAGGCCGGCCTTTCTGCCTTATATCTTGAGTTAGCTATATCCTGACCTTAGATCTCAGCCCAGAAGTTGTTTCATGGTTTTATCTGTGAGTTAGCCGTGCCCTGGCTTAGAACAGCCCACATTGTCCCGTGCGGCATTGATAACATTTGGTAGTTTGAACGGTTGGAAAGTTTAATAGTGTCTATTATTACCATTTTTGTTTGTTTAATTTTTGTCTGTCTGATTGATTTTATTTTTATTTTTTGCTAGTAGAATAATTGTCAGACTATTAAAATAAAAATTGGTATACTTACAATAAGTGGGGCAATGACTTGAGCATAAGGTTTACTTCCTTCGCCTGTCCTTTCTTCAGTAAAAACAATTAAAACTTTTGGCATATTTATACGGTAACCCCCAGATGACGAAAATAATATCTCATTTGCCTTTTCAATTGCCATGTCTATTCTACTGCCCTGGCCCATTTGATACAAGCCCTTTATTTTCTCTTGTAGTTTGTCACTGTTGTAATAGTCGGCATCAGAGAACTTGAAATCTACTCTTGACTCGTGATCAAAAGAGATAAAACCAAAGTGAGCTCCGTATGAGGAGACTGAAAATTTTGAGACAAACTGTGCAACAAAGTTTTTCAGTGTTGTGTACGACTGTGCTGGGATGTTTTCAGAGTCATGGAGAAGGATGCCAACATCAATCTCTCTTCCGCAACCTGGATTGCAATAAAGCAAGCAAAAATACATGATTTAGTGTCAGAGGTTAACACTAAAAACAAATAGCTATCTTAATCATGTGAATGCTGGACAGGGACCTTTCCCGTACCATCTCTTTAGAAAATTAGTAACTCAATTGCTTTTTTCTTCTTTTCTTTTTTCTCTTCCTCTTTACTTGACTTTTATTTTATTTCCTCAAACATACATTTTAAAGTAAGAGTTGAAGTATGTTATGTGCCCACCTGGTACAGCAGGGAGAGTTGTTGGCTTGATGGAAGTAGTCGGAGAAGGCGGTGCTGACGTCAATGACGGCGTTGGAGCTGAAACAAAAATAAGTGAATAACACGATAACACAATCATGATGTCACACTCAAACCACTAAGTTTCTATTAAATCTTTAGCCAGAGAATGGATACGTTCGAGTTTGGTTTATAGACGGAGAAAACTGATGGACTTAGCTTTTTTCAAAGCAAAACCTCTTGATTGGAAAATGGCCAAAAAAGCTAGTTTATTTTCTTAACCATGGAATCTCGGTTGCTTCGTGACTGGGATGCATAATCATTGTGATGCACTTAATTATCTCATACTTACTGGCGCTTGGACAGTTAGAACTGCAGCTTGTCACTACGCTCGTACTCATTACCGTGGACGTCGTCGTCGCTGTCTGGGTCAAACTTTCCGTTGTCGTTTTCACTGTGGTKAGGAGTTTAGTTTCTGTAGAAGTATCTATCGATGTGGTGACAGCTGTACTGGTAGCAACAGCTGTACTTGTTCTAGTAGCGGTGATAGTTGCCGTGGTAATGTGAGTAGAGGTTGAGGTATCAACATCTGTGCTCGTTACAGTCTCGACCTTAGTCTTTGTGTCCGTCAAAGATACCACAGCAGTGGATGTGTGTGTTGTGACATGCGTACTAGTTGAGACATCAGTACTGACAGTGGTTAAGGTTTGAGTGTCTGTTGTGGTGCTTGTATCAAYCTTGGTACTTGTTGCAGTTTTGATCTGTGTATCTATATAAGTGCTTGTCACAGTTGTGAACTCGGTCTGTGTATCGGTGACAGACACCACTGCTGTCGAAGTCTTAGTGGCAACGGCCATGCTAGTCTTGGTTGTGAAATGCGTACTTGTTGAAACATCGGTGCTTACAGTTGTCAGCGTCTTTGTGTCTATAGCTGTGCTGGTATGGACCTCCGTACTCGTGGCAGTTGTGACATGTGTAGAACTTGCCAAATCCGTAGACGTGGTGGTTAGAACCTTTGTACTAACTGCAAGAGCCGTTGAAGTCACGACTGCTATATTTGTTTCAGTTTTCGTGTTAGTTGCATACAGGGTACTCGTGGTGAAGTCAGTACTCGTAGTTACATGGGTGCTACTTTCAAGTTTGGTCTGTGTTGTGGTGAGTGTACGAGTATCTGTGAGCACCTTCGTACTGACATCAGTCTTCAAGTGAGTACTTGTAGTTAAAGCCGTGCTCGTTGTAGTCAAAGTTTTCATCTGCGTTGCCGTAGTAACCGCCGTAGAAGTATCCGTTGCCGTGGTAACATGAGTTTTGGTTGATGTTTCCAGCGCTGTTGAAGTTAATGTAGTGATATGGGTGCTGCTATCAATATCTAGACTGGTTGTCGAGAGAGTCGATGTGACGTACCTGGTTGCTATGGCTGTTGACGTCGCGATGGCGGTTTCCGTTGCTGTGGTGACATGAGTACTGGTGATTGTATCAATATCTGTAGTCGAGAGTGTTTCGGTAGTTTTATGGACTTTGGTACTTGTAGCTGTTTGGGTACTGGTTTCTGTCACATACTGGGTTTGGATAGCAGTATCTGTTTTAGTTATCGTGTGATAATCAGTACTCGTGCTAACGGCCGTCTCTGTAAGCGTGTCAGTGGCCGTAGTTGTATGCGTAGACGTTTTTGTAGTTGTTTGGGTTTGTGTTTCCACTGTTGCTAGTGTTGTGACATCTGTACTAGTGTGGATATCTGTACTGGTTGTGGTCAAGACTGCTGTACTTGTAGCGGTAGTGATGGCTGTAGATGTACAAGAGCCGGGTATTATGCACGTGACGGTTTGTTGGTTTGGTTGAAGGCACGTTGGTTGGACAGCAAGGAGGCATATGGATGGGAAAACACAGTTTGCTGCACACTGAGGAGGATATGGAATATTTTTCTCTAAACAAACRACAGAAGACAAAAAATGTTAAAAAGAAAGAAATAATCCGGTTTTAATCGAAAGAAATAATGAAGGTCCTCCTCTTCCTCCCCCCTCTTTATCATTTCATCACCAGCATCATCACCAGCATCATCACCAGCATCATCACCAGCATAATCTTCATCATCATCATCATTATCATCAAACGTCATAGTCATAGTCATCATCATCATTATCACCACCACTGTCATCATCAACATCATCATCGTCGCCATCATCATCATATCGTCATCGTCATCGTCCTCGTCATCATTACCATCATGATCATCAACATAATCATCATCATTATCGCCACCACTGGCATCATCAACATCATCATCATCATCACATCTTCTGGCCTCACCATGGTCATCATCACCATCATGATCATCAACATCATCATCGTCGTCATCATCACCATCATGATCATCAACATCATCATCGTGGTCACCATCTGGATCATCAGTGCATCGGCATCATCATCGTCATCACATCTTCCTCACCATGGTCATCATCACCATCATAACCATCAACATCATCATCATCATCACATCTTCCTCACCATGGTCATCATCATCGTCACCATCACCATCATGATCATCAACATCATCATCGTCGTCACCATCTGGATCACCAGTGCATCGGCATCATCATTCTACGTTATTTCCATATTTAGCAAACCATTTTAAAAGGAACAATTTAAAGTCTCGTGTTGTGTGAAAGCCGACGATACGTTTTGGTCATTCATATTTTCAGATTAATATATAATTGTTATCCAATAATATTTCCAATCTTACCGTTATAACATTGCTGCTTGCTAATTGCGTTCAGCTTTGAAACAAGTATTTCCAGATCAGTTGGACGGAAAACGCTATTTTTGTCCGACGCTATTACACTCAATTCTGTTGTAAGAGCCTTTCCTATTCCAATGCAGAAAGTATTGATGCCATCCCTTCTAAGTTCATCTACCACTGGTACTAGCCGTTCGGTCCAATTGGTTGAACGATTGGGCAAAGACTCGCCTAAAATAAGATGGATAGCCCAGACACTGTATTTGGTGTATAACGGCACATGCACTGAATGTTTTTAAAGAGTATTATATATCTTGTAGACTTTATACACTTTTCAAATCATGTAACCTTTTTCAGTCTTCCAAATTAAACACGTTTGTAAATTAGTTTTTAGCTAGTTATATCTTCTTGTAAACTAGTGGACAATTTTTAAAAACATAAACAGTAAAATTCTTCAAATCTTTTGCTAGAAAGATTTTGTACCCGGAAAAACAAAAATTCCATATATAATCTTATTCACTTATCTTTGCTAACAAATTTAAACTAGTCTGCAATCTCTCTCGCAAGACAACCGGCAATACAAAACGAATAAGGTGGATCAATGACTCACTAGAACAGTCTTAAACTTACCATCTGTTAGTCCATCTGAGAGAACAATCAATGCCTTAGGAATCCCCTCTCTCGACCCGCCATTGGGACTAAACAGCTGGTGCTTGGCAGACATAAGAGCTAAGTCAGTTCTTGACCACCCGTTCATAAAGTCAACATCTTCAATGTCCTGCTTCAATTCTAGGGCATCTTTGTAGCCGTTAAAAGGGACCGCTATTTCGACCTCTGTACTAAAAACCATCACAGCAACGTGCACTCCGTTTTCATTGACGTCTAATTTGTCGATCAATGATTGGACTGTTTTCTTTTCTTCTTGCCAGGCAGCACCCTCAATCGTGTAGGAAGAGTCTAGTATGATTCCAAGATCGAGCGCACGATGGCATACTTGTTGCGCTATTGAGTAAAAGTGTGTAAAAAAGTCAAAACAATATTTCCTTGATTGCTTGATTTCATTAAGCGGATAGAATTATTTGATTCGCATTATCTGCCTTCTGAGTGGTGGTACAGCACATACAACCAAATGCTGTCGACCTGAAAGAATGCAATCGAAAACTGGCGACTCGGCTAATTTACATTACGCAATAGGCAGACATTGACGTCTAATAAGTTAATCAAGGTCGCCACATGCTTGCTTGCTCGCTCCCTTTCTGAATCTAAATCTGAATCATATAGACTAAGACATTTAACTAAAGGCTCTATGGGTATAGAGCTGATACTAAGAGTTATACATTTCCAGGCTAGAGACAGCAAATTCAAAGTTTTGAAAAAGTACAAAGACAGATTTGACTGTCTCATTAATGAGATGTTGCTGATCAAACAACTCAAACTTAGTTTGAATGTACAATCAGATTCCATACGTGCCAAACTTGTTTGTCTAATTATGTTATTATATATCTATTTTTATATCTATTGTTATTATTTCTATACATATTTTACTTTTCTAGTTAAGTTTTAACTTGATGACGTTGTGCAACGTCGAAACGTCGTCACATTTTTGACATGTTTTTATCGTTCAATTTTATAAAAAAGTTCTAATAATGTATTATATAAACATACCTGGTTCATTTGGTGAAGTTTGAGCAATCACAGCATTGGTTACTGGTTGGTCGGCATTTTGGTTCTGTGGTATTGCGGAAGGAAGTGGATACGCATTTTCTACATATCCAGTATCCTTATAAACTACATTGTCATCGTCTTGACGGTTTGGCAACACCTCACTTCTGGAGTCAGTCTTACTTTGATCTTTTTGGGGGATCGGCTCGTACTCGACCCAGTATTCTGATTCTGAAAAACACAAATACTCATCTCACTATCGTTCTACAGCATTTTAATTTTAATATTATAGCACGGCGCTCAGTTATTTTATTCCATTAAGACATGTGAATAAAAACCTTAGCTGGTAGTACTTGCCATGATAATAGAAAAAACGTTTGCGCATGCGTGCATTTCATCACTTTTTCTAAGAATTTAGAAAGGTTTGAGTTAGAAAATAAATKTTTGTTTTCTCCGACTATACAAAACATTTCAAAACATACTTTTKWAAGACCAAGATACAGTATTAACAAACACAATATGAAAGAATTAGACTTAAGTTTCAAGCCGATGGACATTAAGTTTTGGCATTTTGTAGAGTTATTACAAAATTATTGAAACCATTAATTTATCAGGCATGTTTGAAAGTTATATTTACATATCATTACGATAGCAGGAAGATGTTTAGACTAACTTGCATACGGATTTAGAGCATGTTTAGTTTTTCACTTGTGTCATTTGCAATCATAGTTGATGGAGCGGAATGGTTGGGAAACCTATTGTTCTAGGTTTTTGTTTGACTTTATCCATCGTTATATCACGATATGACCGTGCACAGAGAAGGAAATATGGTTCAATACTTTTTTCATACAATTAGGGAATATAGATTTTTTCCCTTAAAAAATCGTTTTAAAATTAGTTATTATTTGTTAATTAATCCTATATAATATTATTGATTGTTCATCGAAAAGGAAATTGCCATTTTTCATGCTTTCTTTTTTATCCTCTGGTAATTTAACTGTATCTGCGCGGAAATATTTATCCGCATGGTTTGTTGGCATCGGATAAAAGTTTTTACTTTCAAATTGTTCAAACATGAAAATAATAAGGAAATGAGTGTTTTCAGCCATACTTGCTTTGGTTCATTGTGAAGGGTCAGTATCACGTGATGGTACGGTTCAACCTCAAACGCAAAACAATGCTTTATTCTATGGAATTTCCAAACCATTCCACTCCATTAAATATGTTGCCATTAATGTGTCAAGCTGGTCTAGAGTCAACACTAATCAATTGGTGTCCTGACAGAATCAAAGATTCCATACCAGCCTTTTAATGTAACAAACATTATCCCCCCTCCCTCCCCCCTGTTTTTCGTTCGACCCACAAAAAACAACTTATGAAATACGTAAGCTAACATAAATCCAATTTTTCAAGATGCAATGCTGGTCAAAAGTCAAAACTAATCGATTGGTGTCCTGACAGAATCATAGAGTCCATACCAGCCTTGCAATGTAACATCCATCCCCCCTGTTTTGCGTTCGACCCACAAAAACTTATAAAATAATCAAACTAACATATCTTCAATTTCTCAAGATGCGAGAAGCGCGCCCTGACTTACTAGTAGATGACCTCAGAGCTGAGGTAGTTCCACGTAACAGATTTCAAAGGTTAAGGAAATGTAAACGCATGATGGATAAATTGTACATGTATGCAGCTTCGGTTTTGCCATACATAGAAAACACCTTTAATTTACATTGAATTGATCAAAATATTTACTGAGAAGGGATCTGTACTAATTGTAATAATGAATTAAGGAGTTCTTTTCGACATTGAATTTTCACGGGAAATCATCCAACACTTCTCCAGCTATATATAGTACGTCTTGAGTTTCTTCCATCGAACAATTTAAATTTTTGATTTATGGAAGATTTATCAGTTAGACGAAATAAAAGCGCGCGCCCATGGCGATATAGACGCACGAGAGAAAATATAAAGAACGATTAACAAGCGAAAGAGTGGCACGAGGCGAAGCCGAGTGACACTCTAGCTTGTTAAGCGTAATAATCTAGCTATATTATAATACACCATGGACTTCGAGAAGTTAAAACACTCAGAAACGTAAAATGATATAATGAGTAAGAAATATACCCGATTAAAAGAAATTAAAAAGCTGTAAAAAGAATATTTGGACCCTTTATTTTCAGAAAATAACATTCTAGTTCTCCTCAAGATGCAAATAAAATTGCAGTGAAAATGTTCGACATTTTCCCCCTCCTATTTCTTACCTGGAGAGCGTTTCTTTTTCGCAAGGGTTGTACTTGATAGTATACATACACTTAGAATAAGCCTCACAATGTTCATAGTTACTCTCAGACCACTCGAACATGAGAGGCGCGTGCCAAAACAAAAATATCAAGAGGTTGGTCAATATTGCGTTAAAAATAAACCGGTTCGCAGGAGAAAGTGGCTTACCGTCAAGGTCAATAAATTRCATCCACATTACGTCATATTAAAAATGAAAACGAACAAACGGATTAAAAAAGCAAAAAACTAGAAATTTAACAGGCTATATATACAATAATTCGGAAATATTTTTGTAGCAATACCCAATTGCCATTTCTAAACGACAAATGCGGTATACATACTAAAAAGGGCGTGTTTTTAGTCTAAACAAATCGAGTTTTACACGCCTTGTTGTCAATTGCAAAATGAATTATTCATGATCTAAAACCAACCTCAAAAGTTGCGATTGCTCTTCCTAATCTTAGGAATAAAGGTATTTCGTTGTATTCTTGTGAGTGGTTTTAAAATGAAGCACACTATTTCGACGTAAGAAACAGCATTTTTGATTTTAATCGGCAATAAATACATTGTTTATTTCGTCTGGGTCAATAACGTTCAGAGGTCAAGCTGTTATACAATTATGTTATGCAGGTGTATTTCAAGTCAAAGGTTATTGATATAACAGGTTGTTCTATTTAGGTCCTGCCCTTTTTTAAGGTAAAATGATAAAATATTGAAGAGATTCTTAAGAAGAGTCGAAAGTTAGCTTTATGCTGGCTCTAATCTGGTTCGAATAYAATTTTGTTTTATTGATTCTTAAATATGCTTTTAACCTTATATTTTCTTTCCTTTTCCCTTTAAATGATATAAAATGTTCCCGTCTTCTAGCATTTTTCTTTTTCATTTTAGCCCAAGTGTAATTCCCTAGCGTATCATTTCTTTGTTTGAGGTTTTTATGAGAAGTGCATGAATAAGATAGATAGCAATAGTCCCTTTCACAGTTCCCTGCGCCATCTTGAAAGGTACCCGTGCCTTTGCATCGTATAGCAAAACGAACGGTGAGATTGCAATGATAGAGACATGTAAATAATTGTCGAAGGTGTTAAAAAAGAAGATTGCTGTTATAAATAAGGGAAAAAATCAAGTTGTTAAATAAACATCATAGCAAGTTAGACGAGCTGCTACCAATAAGAAAACAGTTGGTGGATATTAGACGAGTTCCTGGAAAAAAAAGAAACAAGTTGTTGCAAATAAGAAACTAGTTGCTTGTTAAACCGTTTACCAATTGGGACTAAGTTAAAAAAAACCTTCAACAACGACTCTCTTCGAGGTTCTTAAGATTTAAGACGAAAAAAAACATCATTTTTATTATTAGGCATAAGTTTCTGGTCACCCATCCAGGTACAAACTTCGCTCAACCGGCTTGACTATGCATCATTGAGTTGCACGTTTTTTCCACTGGGCCACGGTTTCAGGTGAATCAGCATAACAATAGCCGTGAAAACAATGCACC